CATTGATGAGAGGGAATCATGGATTGGCTGCTCCTGTATGTCACACACTGGGGATGGGGCCCAGAACCCAGGAATGTGCCCTGACTGGGAATTGAACCATGATCTCCTGGTTCATAGGTTGATGCTCAACCACTGAGCCACACCAGCTGGGATGTATCTTTATCTTAAACCTTACACCCATAAACAACTTCAAAGTAGATGGTAGTCTTAAACAGACAAAAATAAATAAATAAAAATAGAAGTGTTAGAACAAAATATATTTAGAGATTTTGACAATCTTTATTTGAGGAAAACTTTCTAAAATAAGGCAAGAAAACCAAAAGTCATAAGGGAAATGATTCAGGGTTGATTACATTTAAAACGGAAAGTTTCTGCATGGCCAAAGGCAGCATAAACAATGTTAAAAGGTGAGTGCAAGATTGGTCCAAACATTTACAAAGTTCATGAGACAAAAGTTCAATATGGTTGATAATTAGCAAAGTTGGCCACAGTAATTCCGCCCCCCCCCCCCCCCCCCCCCCCCCCCCGGGCTCCTGTTACTTTGCTGGCCCTGCCATCAGGAGGATTCTATTTCCTCCCCCTAAAATCTGAGCTGATCCAGTGATTTTTTTGCTGAATAGAATGTGGCTGAAGTGACATTGTTCAAGTTCATCAAGAGGCCTCTCAACTTCTGCTTTTAGCCTCTTGCTGTTCTGAGTCCACCATGTAAAGAAATGCGGCTAAATCCTCCTTGAGGATTAAAGACAATATGGACAGAGAGCCAAGGTGACAGCCAGCACCAACCATCAGACATATGATGTCATCTTGGACCATCTAGCTCATGTCAAGCCAACAGAAGGCTGTTGCCATATGAGTAATCCTAGGCAAGATCAGCAGAACTACCCAGGTGAGTCCAGAGAAGGTGCTGACACATACACTCATGAGCAAATAAAAATGGCTGCTAAGTCACTAAGTTTTGGGGTGGTTTGTTATGCAGCAATAGCTAAGTGGGACAGTTATCCACAATTATAAAGAATTGTAGGGATAAGAGCAAACACACAGCCTGGGAAATGGGCAGGCAAGTCACATAACAAGAAACAATGGCTGTTGACTTGAGTCAGAGCTGAAGGAGTCTTGTTGGACTGAAACAAGAACTTGGGCTCCACGGTCAGCCTGCCTGGGTCTGAATCCTGGCTGTGCCCTACCACAGCCTTGGGCAAGTTACTCAGACCGCTCCAGGCCTCAATTTCCTCATCTATGAAGTGGGTATATAAATACTATCTATCCCATAGGGTCATTGTAAGGAAACTTACTTGTATTAAGTACAAATGAATGTTTTGTACATATAATTGTTTTCTTACTATTATAAATTAAAGACATATGAAAGAACTAATCTGCGTATCTGATCAACATGAGCCAAACGTATTTCAAGGAGGAGATAAGATTTCATTCAAAAGTGGAAAAAGTTGATGTCTTTTGCTTTTACTGCTATAAATAGCTCAGGTGAACTTTTGAATCCAGAGAATCAGTGAGTACAAGAAGCTAAGCTGGTTTATTGAGTGCAAGTAGAGGAATAAGAGGGAGGAAGTGCCTATAAGATTATAGTTAGGAAATAGAGAACAAAGACATTTAGCTACATTTCAGAGTTTGGTTTGCTTTAATGTTACTGTAATAATAACCAATTTGATGTTTTATAACACTTGCTTAAATGTCGTCTTAATGAGTTGTAGTTTTACTATTTAAAATCTATAGAAATTCATGGTTCTAAATCTGGCTGAGATTTAGTAGAGAGACACTTATTTGAATTTCAAGTAAAATATTATTATTATTGTTATTACCTATGGGTTATATAATTTGAGATGTTCTGTCTTCCAGGCTGCTTTTATTACATGTAATTGTTTTCTTACTATTATAAATTAAAGACATATGAAAGAACTAATATGCATATCTGATCAACATGAGCCAAACTTCTTTCAATGAGGAGATAAGATTTCATTCAAAAGTGAAAAAAGTTAGTCTCTGCATTTTTTGCACCTGTTGCAAACAACTGTGTAATTTCTTATTAGATATTTTAAAATACTGAAAATAGTACAAAGACTAACATTATTTTCATGAGCCACACATAGCCAATAGAGATAGTGTGCTCAAAGCATTTTACTGCCTCCTCATAGCATACCTCCAGCACAGGGAGTCACAGAGTAAAAAAAAAAAATCTATCCCCAAGGATGCTGAAATTACCAAAAAAATCATGTTAGGTAATGTTTTGTGTGTGTGTGTGTGTGTGCGCACGCCTGCATGTGTATTTTTATGTGTGTATGTATATATGATGTATCAATGTATTTTTATATATACTTATATGTTCGTATTTGACACAATAAAACCATCAAGAAGTTTGAAAATGTAAATTGTTAAAAGGCTTTCTCTCTTGTAGTCAGCATGATGACTTTTCCAAGAATTTAGAATACAAATATTCTTCAAAGATTTCTACACTACAAAATAACAAAAACAAATTAAGCATCTTCTAGCTGTGCAACCTTGGGCAAGTTACTTCACCTCACCTTTTTTTTTCATTTGAAACAGGGATAACAATAGTACTTCATTCATGTGGAATTTTTGCAAAGATTTTAAAAGCTACTATATTTAAAGCGCTAAGGACAGTGTCTGACACACGAAGGCATTTTACAAATCTTAGCTATTATGGTTGTTATTCTTACTACTATTTTATCAGGTGTCATTGATGTGTCAAAATCACCAGATCTTAAATATAAGAGTGGATCTCCTTTAAAATGATCCAAACACATACTACAATTTGGGTAAATAAACCTACCACTTTGTATTTCTAACTCCAACCTCCTATTTTAGAATGTTTTAAGCAGAGATAACCAAAAATAACATAGTATAAGCATTCATTTTCCAGTTGCAAAGAATGATGTTAGCAGCTTAAGATCACATAAAGCCAACACAGGAGTTTAAGAGAGGTTAAAAATGTCCAGTGAACAGAAAGAATATATCATCCGCAGTTATGTTTTCGAATACACCTGCTACTGGTGCATTTACTTCCTACGGCCTGAAAGCAACAGGCTAATCAATGGCTTTTGCAGAACTTCTTACCTAGTGGAACATACATTCTCCACTTGAATCATAACGCCTTTGGGGAATCAGAGGGCCAATGAAATAACTTTAGTCAGGAAGACTATAAAACTTTTATACTAACAAATTACAAAAGAGGGTTCAATTATGAACTCAACTGTTAAACTCATCATTCTGCCTGGATACGTGCATTGAGTGGACAGAATAACTGAACACTACTATAGGGTAAACTGAAGCTGGAATATCAGTAGCTCCTTGGGACCCAAGTGATTCCTAGGGGCATTACTCTTTCAAATACCCCATTTCTTCCGCTCTCTTGGGGCAGTTCTTCAGCCAAAGGCGCTTTGGAGAATGTAATCCACTTCCCCTTTTCAGTTGCCACTTCCACCAGCTGCTTCTCTCATTACCTTACTGTTCAGGCAGCAAAGGCCGGCCCCCGTTTCTTCTAATGATAGCAAGCACCTCATTAAAAAATCTGCCAAATTTACTTTTCCATGGAACATCACTTTTGCAGCTTTTCATGAGGCCACGAGGAAAGAAAGCATCATGTATAAAATATGACTTCCAGAAATCTTGAAGATATTAAGAATTATTCCTACATGACTGGTGGGTGTACCACAGTCCGTAGAATGGCAGTATCTTCCATTTCCGCAAAGGAATCCCATCAGTCTGTCCCCGTACCTGTCTGCCCACAGGAAAAGAGGAGAGGACCCCACAAAGTTAGGACATTTTCAGAAACGTCCCCAAATTAAGAGAACTTTAGGCTCTGGGGTGAAAACTTCCCTATTCCTGGTTTTGCATGTGTGCAAGGGTCACCTTGCTTTAGTCTATAACACCCAGGCAGAGAGAAAACTGGGTGTAATTCATCAAGAGTTTGAAATGTGTGAACTTTGGCAACTTTCTTAACCTCTCTGAACCTCATTTATTTGTGTGTGTGTTCTGTAAAGGGGAGATAGTAATAATATAGTACCTTATTAAGTCAGTTAGGTTTTGTAAAGCACTTAAAACAGTTGCATAGTAGCCACTGTTTTAAATGTTGAAGTGAATTCTCTCTTTAACAGTAAACCTTTCCGCAACAAATTACATAAAGAGGCAAACACTGAATAAGAGACAACGACTGTAAATTCTTTTGGAAACAATCCTTATCTGGGCATTGCAGAGCAAAGAGCTTCAGAAAGGGCTAACTTGCGGAGGAGACTTTAGGCGCCAGAGAATTCCCTCTGCTTTCGGAGGGAATCCCTGCAGACTTTTACCCATGCCCCAAGTGGACAGTTGTCACATCACTAGACCCAAGGGAAAGCGCTTTCCAAGGTAGCGGCAGGCCACCCTTACCTGGGCAATCCTTTATTAGGAAACCGAAACTCACCTTTTATA